AAGACCAGATTTACTGGCCTAAAGGAGACTGGAGAAACCCCGAGAGTATGGCCCCCAGACACCCTTTTAGCTCAGTGGTGAAGTTACCTTCGAGGTTCACTGTTCAGCCTGCGAGTGGACAGCCCAGTAAAACCATGAGAGTAACGAGGTACAGGAGTCCAGTGACAAGGCCCAGAAGGCAGAAGGGGAGTAGGAAGCTGATGATAGGGAACACAAAGTAGAGTAAGGATATTGTTGATGTGTTGTGAGATTGTTAACCATTGTCATAGGGCAACATTTGTAGTAACTGTTAAATGGGAGACTATTTTGTCCTGTAAGCCTTCATCTTAAGTGAGAATAACAGCACAATTAGAAGAGCGTAGTCAATGTCACTTAAATGTGTCTGTAAAAAAAATTTTTGAAATCACGTATCTTTGGCTATGTGTATTTTCACCAAAAAAAAAAAAAGTTGAGAATTTAGAGGGTTAAAAAAAAAAAAAAAAGATTGTTTCTTTTTATGTGTAAATTTTTTCATGAGTTTTTACTATAGAGGTCTCATACAATATTTGTCCTTTTGTGATTGACTTATTTCACTCAGCATAATGTCCTCCAGTTTCATCCATGCTATGAGATGCTTCACAGATTCATCATTGTTCTTTATCATTGCATAATACTCCATTGTGTGTATGTACCATAGTTTATCTGTTCATCTGTTGAGGGGCATCTAGGTTGTTTCTATCTTTTTGCTATTGAGAACAATGCTGCAATGACATGGGTGAGCATATGTCTATTCGTGTGTTGGCTCTTATTTCTCTAGGATATATTCCTAGGAGTGGGATTGCTGAATTATATGATATTTCTATTTCTAGCTTTCTAAGGACACGCCATATGGTTTTCCAAAATTGTATCATTTTGCATTCCCACCGCAAGTGTATAGGAGTTCCAATCTCCCCACAGCCTCTCCAACATTTGTTATTTCCAATTTTTTTCATTTGTGCCAGTAATGCTGGGGTGAGATGGTATCTCATTGTGGTTTTAATTTGCATTTCTCCAATGGCTAGTGATTACAGACATTTCCTCATGTGTCTGTTGGCCACTTGAATGTCTTCTTTGGTGAAGTGTCTGTTCATTTCCTTTGCTCATTTTTTAATTGGATTATTTGTCTTTTTGTTGTAGAGATGGTTGATTTTCTTGCAGATGTTAGAGATTAGACATTTGTCTGACTTGTAATGTCCAAAAATTTTTTCCCAGTCTGTAGGTTCTATTTTTACTCTTTTGGTGAAGTCTTTTGATGAGCATATGTGTTTAATTTTTAGAAGATCCTAGTTATCTACCTTATCTTCTGGAGTTTGTCTGTTGTGGTTATGGTTTGTATCCTGTTACTGCCCTGTATTAGGGTCTGTAGCATTTATCCTATTTTTTCTTCTATGAATTTTATAGTTTTTGTCTTTATATTTAGGTCTTTGATCCATTTTGATTTAGTTTTTTTATATGGTGTGAGGTACGGGTCCTGTTTCATTTTTTACAGATGGCTATCCAGTTTTTCCCACACCATTTGTTAAAAAGACTGTCTTTTCCCTATTGGATGGACTTTGGGCCCTTGTCAAAGATCAGGTGACCGTAGGTGGATGGATTTACATCTGGGTTCTCAATTCTGTTCCATTGGTCAATGTGTCTGTCATTGTACAAATACCAGGCAGTTTTGACACCATAGCTGTATAGAAGCTACTGAGGTCAGGTAGTGCAAGTCGTCCTACTTTATTCTTCCTCTTCAGTAGTGCTTTACCTATTCAGGGCTTCTTCCTTTTCCATATAAAGTTAATGATTAGTTTTTCCATCTCTTGAAAGAATGATGTTGGTATTTAGATTGGGATTGCATTGTATTTGTACATTGCTTTGGGTAGAATTGTCATTTTCACAATGTTGAGTCTACCTATCCATGAGCATGGTATGTGTTTCCATTTATGTAGATCCCTTTGGGTTTCTTGCAGTAGTGTTTTGTAGTTTTCATTGTATAGGTCTTTTACATCCCTGGTTAGATTTATTCCTAGTATTTCATTTTTTAGGGGCTTTTATAATTGTATTGGTTTCCTGATTTCCTTTTCATCATTCTCTTTATTGGTGTATAGGAATCCAACTGATTTTTGAATGTTTATCTTGTATCCTGTTACTCTGCTATATCTTTCTATTAGTTCCAGTAGTTTTCTGATGGAGTCTTTAGGGTTTTCCATGTATAGTATAATATCATCCACAAACAGGGACAGTTTAACTTCTTCGTTGCCAGTTTGGATGCCCTTTATTTCTTTTTCTTGCCTTATTGCTCTAGCTAGGACTTCCAGCACAATGTTAAATAGGAGTGGTGATAAAGGCCATCCTTGTCTTTTTCTTTTTCTCAAAGGGAATGTTTTCAGCCTCTCCCCATTAAGAATGATGTTGGCTGTTGGTCTTGCACAGATGCCCTTTACTTTGCTGAGAGAGTTCCCTTCTATACCTATTTTATTAAGAGTTTTTATCAGGAATGGGTGTTGGACTTTGTCAAATGCCTTTTCTGCATCAATTGAGATGATCATAAGATTCTTTTCTTTCCTTTTATTTATGTGGTAGAGTACTTTGATTGATTTTCTAAGTTGAACCATCCTTGCATGCCTGGTATGAATCCTACTTGGTCTTGGTGTATTATTTTTTTGATATGATTCTGAATTCTACTGGCTGGAATTTTGTTGAGAATGTTTGCATTTATATTCGTGACAGACATTGGTCTATAATTTTCTTTTTTTGTGGCATCTTTGCCTGGTTTTGGCATCAGGGTTATGCTGGCTTCATAGAATGAATTCAGAACTGTCGCTTCCTTTTCTATGTTCTGAAATAGTTTGAGTAGTACTGGTATAAGCTCTTCTCTGAATGTTTGGTAGAATTCTCCAGTGAAGCCATCTGGGCCAGGGCTTTTTTTGGTTGGGAGTTTTTTGTTTTTTTTTTTAAATTACCTTTTCTATCTCTTCTCTTGTTATGGGTCTGTTCAGACTTTCAACATCACTTTGTAGTAGTTTGAGTTGGTAGTGTGTTTCTAGAAATTTATCCATTTCCTCTAGTTTTTCAAATTTGTTGGGGTACAGTTTTTCATAATACTCTGTTATGATCCTTTTTATTTCAGTTGGGTCTGTTGTAATGTCCCCCATTTCGTTTCTTATTTGGATTATTTGTGTCCTCTCCTGTTTTTCTTTTGTTCCTGAATTCTTCCTTTTTTTGTCTGTATTTTCCATGAATTTGTCTGCCTTTTCTAAGAATTTTTTCTATTTTTTCTTCATTTTTTCTGCTTTTTGCTTCAACTCTTGGATAGCTCTGAATATTAAAGATTTGAATTCCCTACCCGGTAGTTCTAGTGCCTTTTCTTCTACTGGAAAGTCATCTTGTGTTTTATTTTGGATGCCTACTGGAACCATCCTGTCCTGTTTTTGTATATGTTTTGATATTGTCTGCTGTCTTCGGGACATTTAGTAGTTATTTTCCTCATTTATTGATTGTATATTTGATTGTTTCATCTTGCTTTTTTGTTTTAATTGGTTATGTCTGAGCAGGTGGGCTGTGTGTTCTTTATTGTTTGCTTGTCTGTGGATATGATACTTTTCACCTCCTTCTCCAATGGGAAGAGTCAGTCTCTCAGGTATGATACAGCAGGGCAGGTCCAGCTGAAGAGGAGTTTCTGGGATGGGTTGTTTGTGGCACATACTAGTGCTGACAGGACAGGCTGGGAATCAGTGCAGGGCAGATCCTGGTAGGCCATGCCTGTGCTGCTTGGGAGTGTGATGTTCAGCACATGGTGCAGGTAGGCAGGAAGGAGGGGGGAGATTGTAATGTGTGGAGCTAAAATGGGTATGGGAAAGAGGAGAGAGGAACAGGAGCCAAAAATATACAAACAAACAAACAAAAAAGAGTGCTAAGGGAACTTACCACTGGAGTGGAGAGATGAGAGAATGAGAATAGGAAAAAAGAAAGAAAAAAGGTAAAACAAAAAATGAATATTTAAAAATTAGAAAAAAGAAAAGCCCCCAGAGATCTCACTGGGGCAGCTTTGAGGACTGGGGAAGTTGCCTCCAGGCAGTGAAGTACAGCCTGGCTAGAAGGTGTAGAGGTGTCACACAGTGCCAGGTATTCAGGAGACAGGAAGATAAGGTAAGTCTAGAGAGACAAGAAACTGAGAAATGAAGAAAGACAAAAAAGGAAATTGAGAAAAAAGAAAAGAAAACCAACAACACAAAAAAAGAAAAAAAAATGTCCCCAGGGATCCCACTGCACATCTGTGCAGATTGAGTGAGTAGCTCCCAAGCCATGCAATACTGTCCGGCTAGAAGGGGCTCCCAAGCTGAGAAAAGAAAACAAACAAATAAAAACAGAACAATTCAAAACAAACAAACAAACAAAAAGCCCTGGGATCCCACCAGCATGGCGGCATGGGCTGGGAAGCAGTTCTAGAGTTCAGTGACATTTCACAGCCTTTCAGGAAGAAGCAAAGATGGCACATAGGGCCAGGTATTTGAGAGAAAGTAGGGGGAGGTGGTTAGAGGTATGGAAGAAATCAAAAGAAGTGGAAAAAAAGCAACACCAACAACAAACGAATGGCACTCAGGGAGCCAACCAGTATGGGCGGGTGGAATCTAAGTGGCACCAGCATGAAGCTGGTGCTTCCTGGCCAAGAGACTGTGGCCGCAGAAAGCAGAGGAGGCTGAGTGGGGGTGAAGAAGGATGGTGGGTGTAAAAGCATATATCACTGGTTACCAGTTGTTCTGTCTCCTGCTGGAAGCTCCGTACAGCTGCTTTTCCATACCCCCTGTTCACTGATCTCCGATAGAAGTCCAAGATGGAAGATCCATTCTGTGTTAGCTGATAGGGGACCTCTGTGTGTATTGCTCCTCAATCTCTGTTCTGTGTCAGTTTCTTATTCTATTCAGTACTTGGCTGAGTTGTTTATCTCTTCATTTGATGCTCAGGGTTTCAGGATTAAAGTTTGTCTCTGTTTGACTTAGTTTTTCAGATATTTGCTTTGGAGGGATGGCGTGGTGCTTCTATCTATAGCACCATGATGCCTGGAAATCTCAGAAGGTAACTTTTTATATTAATTTGGAGAAGATGAAAATAATAATAACCTGTGTTAGAGATAGTACAGGGAAATATATGCTCTTATACTGCTATAGGGAGGCATTGGTGATTCAGTGGTAGAACTCTCTCCTTCTATGCAAAGACCCAGTTCACTTCTCGGCCAATGCACCTCATGCACAGCCACCACCCATCTGTCAGTGGAGTCTTGCTTGTGCTGTGATGCTGAACAGGTTTCAGCAGAGCTTCTACACTAAGATAAATGAGGAAGAAAGGCCTGGTGATCTACTTCCAAAAATCAACCAATGAAAACCTTATGAATCATGATGGTCTGATCCACAGCCAACCATGAGATTTTTGAAGAACTGGGCAGTGTTAAGTTCATTTGTGCATGAGCTCACCATAAGTCAGGACATCTTGATGGCAGCTAACAACAACATACTGCTGAATGAAATTTCTGAAGGACAATTTGGCAACACATATCAGAAGCCTTAAAAATATACTCTTTGGCCTGGAAATTCCACTTTTAGTTTTCAGCCTTAACAAAAATTAACAGAAGACATGAACAAGGATAATGTACCTGAGCAAATGGCATCTTTGCTCATATGATATTTTTGCTTATAATATTGAAAACAACTTTTATGTGTAACAAAAGAAATAGGCAAAATAAGTATGGTACAGTTTTACAAAAGGATGTTCTATGGTCTTAACCATAATCCTGCAGACAAAATGGGCAATGACAGAAAAATACAACCATGGTACACTATTTTAAAAGCTGGTCACAAAACAGGAAGTAGATAATGATCCTATTTTTGTTTTAAAAAATGGTAGTGGAAAGATATATATCAGAATGTTAACAGTATTTATCTCTGGATCATGGTGTTGTAGGTAATTTTATCTACCTATTTTCTGAATTTCCAAAATAAAAACGAATTATTTGTATGAAAAGGAAAGCTTACTTAATGCATTTAGTAAGTAGAGGATCAGTCCACCAAGCCTGGACTGAACATGTAAAGGTTAGGTTCTGTCACCTCATTCATCCTCGGCCTTTCATTAATGTTGCTTAGTGACACACACACCCAATTTTTTAGGTAATTGCTTGTTTTTCTTTTTTAAACTTCACATTTTAAAGAAGTGCTTAAGTTATATAAGCTTACTATTTTTTGTTTAATTCAAACCGAACAGAGGTACGTAAAGCAAAAATGTAAATTCCTCCAAATCCTTTGCTGCACTCTCCAGAAAGTGGCACCGTTAGCAGTTTGATTTCTATCAAAGGCTTCCGGACATTTTCTTTTCATGTGCCATATATCCCTTTCCTCTTTTACACAAGCAAGATCATATTATACAAAGCATTCTGCAATTTTCTCTTCCACTTAATAATATATCTTGGACATTTTCTTTGTCTGTTTGGATCTCTTTTACTAATTTATTTATCTATCCATTTATTTACTTTGTTAAATTGCATTATTATGAAAGTTATCCATGAATATTGTTTTTAAAAATCTGAACAGCCCAAAAGGCTATAAACTAAAAAATAAGTTTGCCTCCCCATCCCCTACCACAATCTGAAGCCTACTCCCAAGAAGCAAACAACAGTAATAGCTTTTGTTTTTTAATCTCCTTTTGATTACCTTTACCACTTTAATAAATACTAAATCTTTTATTTTAGATATGTATCTCTTGACTACTTATATTGTTTTCCACTATGAAAGATGCTGAATGCACTGCATTATGCTACCTCCTAGAAAGACTTGTACATGTATGTTCATAGCAGCTTTATTCATATTAGGGTCAAACTGGAAACAACCAGAATGTTCATTAACTGATGAATGGATAAACAAATCGTAGTTGTAACAAACTACCAATACCTGCAACAACATGGATGAAACTCAAAATCATTGTGCTAAGAAAAAAAGCTAAACACAAAAGAATAATGCCGTTTGATTACACTTACCTGTCTTCTCACCCATCTCCTAAGTGTTGTAGTTCTATTACTTTTTATCCTTCTAGTTATTGACTTTATAACATAAAATAATATAGTTAAATCTTTATGTCTTGATTTAGCAATTTTAGAGGCATTATTCACACATACACACTCTGTTTAATCTCACTTTTGACTTTTTGTTATATTACTATATTTACATATTTAAAATTTACAGCATTTACAGGTGGGGCCAAGATGGTGGAATAGTCAGACATTTCATGTCATCCCTCTTACAACAAAGACCTGAAAAAAAAATGAATTGGATATATATGACAATCTAGGAACCCTAAGCACCAAAGACAAAGCTGAAGAATCGGACTGAGCAACAGATGAAAAGAGAGACAATGAAAAAACAGGGGAAAGAGAGAATTATTGATCACCAGATCGCCAGTGTCTTGCTAACCAAACCTGTACAGTGTGGACATATTGAGATAAGCAGCAGCATCCCAAGCCAAAACCCACCCATCTGGTGCAGCTAAACAGGAGCAACTCTTCACAGGATTCAAACAGGAGTGACACCAGGCCTACGAAAGTTAAGTGCATGTGCCCAACACATCACATGCACCACAGCCCTCCCACCAGAGCTCTACCGGCCCAGGAACTTTCACCTCTTTGTCTGCCCTGACACCAGGCTGGTGGCACTGAACCCCACCACACCCCCTAAGCTGAGAACTCATGGCTTCCCATCTGGAAGCACCCACCCCTTCACCCAGCCACTGACACAGGGAGACCACAAGCTTGCAGTGCCCTCCAACCCCTTGGGTCACCCACACCAGTACCTTGCTGGCCGAGACAGCATAACACGTCCACATTGGCATAAGGTAGGCAAGGTTCCCAGCTGACGTCCATTTTCACTGACAGCACCCAAGTGGGAGCTGCAGATCTGTGGCATTCGACACTGCTACACCCCTTGAGACAGTAGCTCTCAGCCCAGTCCAAAGCTCCCACCTCTTTACCCAGTAATTGGTGCAGGGGGTCCACGGACATGCAGCATCCTTCACCCCATTCAATCACCAGCACCAGTGCCTTGCTGGCAGGACAGGTGGGCATGGCTCCCAGCTGCAGCCTGAGGGACAGTGGCACCCACCAGTTCCTCCAACCAATGGCATGGGGTGCCAAGGACTGGCTGTAACCCACTCCCACTATGCACTCTAGTGGACAGGGACACGCCCACTGACTGGGCAACTGGGGGCAGCCAACAGGCCCCTGCTTCACCCCCTGCATCATGCACCACTGCAACCAGAGACTTGTGTCTGCTCCCAAAATCCCCAAGCAGGCCTGCCCACCCAGAACTGTAGGTGAGAGTTTCTGCACCACACACTCAGTGACAAATGACCCAGGCACCTTTGCCCCAACCATCTGGCAAGCAGTGGATTACACACACAACATGCAACCCAATGACCAGGGAGAACACACCTGCACCCATGGCCAGGTGACCAGCTGGACAAATACATCTCCTCACCACAAACAACACCTGTGTCCTCAGCATCCAAGCAAGAACAGTGAACAGAGCTCCATGCTCACACCTACTAGCAGCTGCGCCCACCTGGAGACAGGAAGTAAGAGCTTCAACTTGGCCAGATTAGGAACCACAGTAGCACACACACTCAGCCTACTTGGATATATCAAAGCAAAACAAAACAAAACAAAATTCAGGACACAATAAGCAAACATACAATAAATAAATAAATATAACTTCTTGCAGACTCAGAGACGATAGTCAATACCAAATCCCACAAAGAAACAGGACAAGATGGCTCCAGCAAGCAACCAAAGTAAAGAATCAGAAAATCTTCTGGAGGAAGACAATGCAATGGAACTACATGATAAAGAATTCCAAAGACTAATATACACAGCTCTGCAAGAGATCAAGGAAAACACAGACAAAACCAAGGAACACATAGACAAAGCAATAGAAGAATTCAGGAAAATAATACAATAACGAAATGACAGAATAAATAGGTTACTAGAAACCATACAAAAACAGCAACTAGAAATCCAAAAGATTAACAATAAAACTTCAGAATTAACTCAATAGAAGACAGAGGAGCAGAATTGAGACAATGGAAGACAGATTGAAGATAAATCCCTTGACACGAATTTATTTGAGGAAAAATCAGAAAAAAGAATGAAGAAAACCTAAAATTATGTCGTATACTATCAAGAGGAAAAAGTTGTGAGTGATAAGATTTCCAGAACAGGGGGAAATAATGGAAAACACAGAAAGAATTGTTGGGATAGATTTGCCGGCAGAAAACTTTGCTAATATCATGAAAGATGAGAAGATATCCATCCAAGAAGCTCAACAAACCCCATAGAAGAGAGATCCCCAAAAGAAAGTTACAAAGACATATCATAATCAAACTTGCCCAAACCAAAGACAAAGAAAGAATTCTAAGAGTGGCTAGGGAAAAATGAAAAGTCGCCTACAGAGGAAAATCAATAAGACTAAGTTCTGATTACTCAGCAGAATCTATGCAGGCAAGAAGGCACTGGGATTACATATATAAAGCCTTGAAGGAAAAAACTGCCAGCCAAGAATTACATGTTCAGCAAAATTGTCTCTCAAATACAATGGTGAAATTAGGTTATTTCTAGATAAACAGAAATTAAGGGAATATGTAAAAATCAGACCAAAATTACAAGAAATATTAAAAGGAGTCCACTGGTTAGAGAACCAACATCAGACAGCAAACCAAAACTAGGACACAGGACAGATCAACCAGAAACCAACCCAGACAAGGAATTCTCAAAAATAAAACAAAGCCAACCCACTAACCAAACCTACTGCCTTCAAAACTGATTCTGACTCACAGCGACCCTATAGGACAGAGTAGAACTGGCCCAAAGGATGTCTAAGTCTGTAAATCTTTATGGAAGCAGACTGCCACATCTTTCTCCCTAACAGTGGCTGGTTGGTTCAAACCATAAAGCAAAGATAAAAGACTGAAAATAGGGAACCAGAGATGTCAATATGTAAATCACCACCACATCAAAGCAAAATAGAGGGAATATGATGTAG